TGCGTAGTGATTTCCCAACCAGTTGGTAAATTACCTGATTTAGTTGTTATAATTTCATATAGATAATAACACATGGTCAAAATACTAGTAGTTAGATATGTTCAAAGCCCATGCTAGTTTAATTCTATAACATTTTTAAAATAAAATATATAATATTTTTTTGTTTTAATGTTTTTCTTTTAATTTTATTAATTAACAAGGTACTTGAATTATATATGAATATGAACTGACGAAACCAGACGAAATATGTATTTCGTAAAGTCTCGTTGTTGCAAAAATAGTTCTTCACCCATATATAACTTGGATATATATTAAGGAATTTTAATAAATTTACTTTATTGTATAGTATGGTCCAATTATTGTTTTGTTCATGCTATAAATTGAAATATGAGTTTAATATTAAATATAAAAAGGTTACGATTTTTAAAGATGATTTGGGACGTAAGTTTATTATATTGAAAATTTTTTAAAAAGCTGCTTATGCTACACATCAATCAACCGAACATGAGGCTGAGAAGACTTATAAAAGGGTAAGTTTTTATTTGATTTGGATTAGATATTGTTATATTCCTATCGTCATTGAAGAATGAATTGTACACTAAGTCTTAAAAAAGTTTTTCATGGCGGCAGTTATGAACAAACTTTAAAAGAATTATAGTTATATAAAAATGAATAATATTGAGATTGGATAATACCGTAAATGTTAAATTGGTAATAAATTATACTTTGCATTTAATTGTATTATATTATTAATTTACTATGTATAAATATAAACCGTAGTCTTTGAAGCTTAAATATATATTATTTATTTGTATTATTAAACAACAATATTGACAATAATTAAAGTTTGTATTCTAGATATTGGGTTTGAAATTTGGAAATTGATGTATACTATCCCGGATTTTCTATGTACAATTTTGACACTTTGAAATTGGTAAACAACTAATCATTAAAAAAAAAATTAATTAACCGATTTATATATTCTATTTAGCGAAAAAAAAATTATTTAAGAGAACTTAAGAATTTATTCAATAAACTTTTTTGCATATAAAATCGACTCTATATAACGTTCGAACACCTTTACTTAATGAGTGAAGTTCTAGTACTAGTAAAAATCCTGATTATGTGTAAAACAATTATTAGCTTAAGAAAATTGTTGGCTGAAGGTCATTTGAGACTAATGTAACATAGGCTGTTAGGTTGTAGGTGGATCCAGAATTCTGTGGATTTTAAATCCACTTAAATAGATTTAGAATCAATTTAAGTGGAATTTGAATCTCATACAACTTAAGAAGAAATAGAAATAGGATTTTAAAAGTGTAAGCAATATAAATTTAGATAATAATGAAATATGTAATTGTATAGCTATCAACATTGCATTATCATTTCTGACATCAAATTAGACATCGTTATTCGTAAGAATTTCTCATTTTAACGATAGTGATAATTTGAATTTGTTTCAATCAGACTTCCATAACTGAAAAGAATTTTAAATTGATCTTTTAAGTTCCAAATTTGTACAGTCAAGTAGTATCACAATTATAATTTTTATTCATGGTTTGAAATAAAAATTATATTCTGGCTGAAATTTTAACTTAAAAACTTTCTCGAAATACAGTACAATTATTTTATTAAATACATATGACTTATGATTACTTATTTAAATAATATTTTTAAGATTTGTAATCGACTTAAATTGGGTTGGATTCGAATTCCACTTAAGTAAATTCAGAATCTACAAAATTCCGAACCCACTTACATCATATACGTATTATAACGAAAAAAATTTGTTGATTTACACCCGTTAAGAACATGAGAACTAATCCGGACTCGGGAAATATAGTGATACGGATATCAATCGATATCAAAGCTAATCTAAACAATACTTTAAAACTACTAAATTCTACTGAGCCCTAATGGTGGTAGGCACGAAAGAGGCGTGGAAAACTTGGTCCGAGTTATTAGGGTCAAATAGAGCTCTGGATTACGTCACGAGGTTTACTTCGGGATCACGGGTTTAGATTACTAACTCTATGCGAATTTGATTTTATCGGGGGTAATTGGGGTGATTCTTTAAAGTCAGAATAATAGACTAGGATTGAGTCGAACTCTAATGAGTTCTACAAACTCTCACTGAGTTATCTTTTATTGAAGCGAAAAGATAGGTCTTAAATACTTTAGACCAATGCTGCGTACATAGGGTTGTGTTCGCTATTTAAACTACTTTTACTATGTATAAAATATACTAATTTCTTTAGCGAATGAATCGGCTAAATTACATGATAGTGGATAGGATACAAATTTGTATCTGCTTAGACTTTTGATACAAATTTGTATCTGCTTAGATTTTGGATACAATTTTGTATCGAATACATGCATCTAATCTACTATTTACAGAAAATTTATCCAAAATCATGATTTACACTTTTACACCGTTCACCACTTTACAAAACTTAGAATAGTAGCCTTCTGAGTAAAATCACGTAATTTAATTAAAATAATGATTTTTTTATATATTACAGGAAAAGGTGTTTAGGCCTGCATTGAATTAAATAAATAGTTAAAGATATAAGTATTTTTCATTAATAAAGGAAAATAACTATGCTTAACCGGGGCAAATTACCTCCACTAATTATTTATTTGGTTAGGGTTAGAAATTAAGAATTATTATTTTTTTATATAAAATAATATAGAGCTAATATAAAGTTTCGATCTCAATTCTCGTGAGGTTTTCAGGGTTCCTGAACATTTTTACTTTGAAGATCCGATCCCATTTACGTAGTACGTTTTTGAGATATAGCACCTCCGGTGAATTCCCCCGGTTAAAAATAGCAATTCTCTTAATAAAACTGTAAAACTGTTAACTTCATACTATTACATAAACACCTAGCCATGGCAAAAAAAGCTACTATCACGTGAATTTGGCCAATCAGCGAAAATCAAACAATAGAATAAAAAGTAATAAATCTTATCATTAAAGTTATGGTTAGGTTGAGAATATTGCATGTTATATACCAAAATTTAGCAATGAGTTTTTTTATTAGTATGCAAAAGGCGGTTTTATAAGCGAAATTTTGAGATATTAACGATTTTTCAAAAAGAACGCAATTTTTACGTTACACCTGATCTTGTTATCTAATTGGCTAGCTTCGAAAAATCACGTGATATAACTTTTTTTTGTCATACTAAATTTTACACATCTTAATTAGATCACAACGTTCGATCACCACGTACCCGATCATTAGTCACTGACAGTTAATGATCATCATGATCAATTGGTTTATTGAGCACCTTAGTGGGCACCTAAATTCAATTTCACCCTACCCTTAAAGTATAAAATATTGTCGTGCAATACAATAATACTTCTATACCTAAAGATTTCTTCGACATAATAAATAATCTTACACACACGATCTGCACGACAAGTCGTGTAACTGATATACCCACCAGAAAATAGGTATCAATGACTGAATAAAAATATCTTAGAGAATAAGTGAAATTGGCAAAATAAAAGTTAATATTTAAAGAAAGCAAAAATACACAAAAACTAAATGCAACATAGTTATACAGAAGCTTTGTTCTAAAAGCTAATTTATTTATAGGTGTGCAATATTTGTACACGAGTCATTTGTGATACATTTTTTACTATAATCACAAGTTTATTTGCAATTGTAAGTTTATTAACGATAAAGCTCTTTTATATAATACAATTAGATTTAAAAAAATATTATAGATTTGGATTAGGTAGTGTATATAATTATATTTCAGGTAGTAGTTGATTTCAAAACAGATTATTAATAATTTCTCATTTAACAGAGATATGGTAATTTTAGAAAAAAATTTTTGATTATCCTTAACCACGGTTTACACAATTTTACAAAAAAAATGCCCTTCCAATATCTAAGGTTTTCATTAGCAACATCATGAAATAATAGATAATTGAACTTCGTCTTTGCGAGCCTAATTAAATGACAAACAATCATCAGACTTTCATTAATTGTTCATTATATACTATGATCGGCTATCTTGCCAAGAAGCATACCAATTAAAAATGTATAGTATAACCTCGATATAATGAAGCTCTGGAGCTGGAGGTTTTGCTTCGTTATATCGGGGTTAATTTAAACATAAAAATTAGAAATAATCTTCGTTATCGTTATACTGTACTAATGTAGGATTTTGTACTCTAAAATTTATGTACAATACACCTGTTTAAGCCAAAGTGAACCCAAAAATCTAAAAGTTCCATCTATTAATGGTTTTTTTTTGATACGCCAAACGTCTTATTCTCTTTTTAAGGTTTTGTTAGTGTACAGTCTATTAATTACTCATGTTTTATCAGAAATTTATTATGTTTTAATCTATATTACAAAATTTCATTGAATTTCAACTATAATAAAATCAAATTGTAACGAAATCTGAGCTTAAACTTTTAAAATATATATACTCTTTTTATTAATTGATAATATGGGGTAATCATATATAACAGTTGCAACGCAAAATCACTGTAAGTTTTACTATAGCTACAAATGCATGCCACTTTACCACAAAGCGAAGTCATTTTTCTACTAAGTAATGTACTTTCGGCTTAGAGCATGATTTTCTGATTCTAAGTAGTAAGATCATTAAAATTGGCGCAACATATGCCATGATTTAATTAAAAAACATTTGCTGATTATATATAAACTTGCTTTGTGGCTTAGCAATTTACTATTACAAAATCCTATAGTCATGTGCGTCACTATTTACTACAAATGATTACCCATTTAGAACAAAAATGATTCTAACCAAAACCCTAAAAAAGCAACCTAAAAAATGAACTTAAAAGACTTTTATAGAGGCGTGTAATTTCTAATTAAAATAGGGTAAAATTTCATTTTAGTCTGTCAACATTAATTCAAAAAAAAATTTTTTTTTTCACTCAAAATTTCAAGTTATAAAATTTCTCATGATAAGATCTTGATTTGAGTAATTTATTAAGTCAGGCCTATTTTAATAAAATGAGCATTATTATTAATAGTAAACTATTTGAAAAAAGACAATTATTAAATACTTCTAATAGTATATGCCAACAAGTGCTGTCTGGCACTCAACCAACAATGCAATTTTTGTGTTGTCAAGATGATAATTGTGTAATTAAACCAGAATCAGGTGATTGTCCTCCTGATAATAGAACTTTGACTCATTGTCAGAAGACTAGTGATTTAAAATGCTGTAATGCTAACTTGACTTTAGAGATTTCTTCTAATGCTATAATCAATAATACTATTCGGGTTTGTGATTATAATGGAATATTTTGTCTCACAACTACTTATTTTTCTGGTGCTACGGTGGTCCAACAAAATCAAATAAACTGGATGCTTAGTCGTAATAAATGGAATGAATCTCGTATAGGTTCCTATGCTTGTTGTGATACAAGTGGTTGCATACTTAGTCATTATATTGACGAAAAAGCCTATATACAAGGTCTAAATTATCCCATTTTTCCACAATTGAGTCCTGTTTGTAGTGGTTCCAGTGCATTATTAAATTATGGCATTCTTCTTGATTCTCTATGCAATGATACCACGAAGTTTAGTGTAATTTGCCCTGATCTTTACCAATCAGGAAAATGTCGTATCTGGGGATCTGAATGTGAGAATCCACTTCTCATTGATTATATAGTGGAAGTATGTAATGAAACGAGAGTGGAAGCAATCCTTGATAACAACATACAATTGAATAACTCTCCCCCAGCAACATTAGTTCCACGACTACATTCCCTACATTCCCCACAATTTCTAATACAACACTCAATGCATCTTCTAGTACAATATCACGCCTTAGTACCTGGGCAACAATTGTAGTAATAGTGGCCGTGTTGATTGGCTTTCTAATTTGCCTTTATTTTATTTATAAGTGGCTAAAGAATGGTTGTAAAGAGAGAAAAATAAATAAGAGATTGGCGTTTTAATAATTTCCAATCATGGTGTAACTTCTTACGTTAGTAAACAGGTATTATTGAACATTCAAAGTTAAAAATTTTAATTACAAGATAAAAATAGGTAAAAACTGTTGTTAAACAATCCCAAAATAGGAATAAAACTACATACTCACTTCACTTCAGACAATTTCATTGCATAAAAAAGTGATGATAAAGTATAACTTTTGAAAATTTTGTATTTAATTTTAATCATTGCTTTATGAGATACTGTATTTACCGTTTTTAAAGTCTTTTCAAGGAACAAACCTCATATAACATTTGTGATGCAATAACCCAAATTCAGAATTATTAATAATGAAATCACAATAATCTTTTGCTGAACATTAATTTTTTGAAAAACAATCTTCACATTGCCATCGCTCGTTTTTTATCATGCAGATAAAGCCTTTTGATAGTATATAAATTTATCATATAAAATAATTACGAAAAATTGTTGCTGTATTTTGTACGGTATGATAGAAATCAAGGATCTTTATATTACCGGTAATTATAATAAATTGTATTATTTACTAAGCAAAATATACCTGATATTTTGAATATACGAGTTGTCTGCGGTTTGTTAAAATTTTTTATGCGTCACTAAATTTATGTTTACACGAAATCTCTTGCGTTTTAGTACAATTATAAGCAAAAAATCTACAAATCAGTAAAACAAGGAAAACCAATAACTTTTCCTTGCGCTACTGATTCACTATCTATACCTAATTGCTTAGCATTTTTCAATACAAACACCAAATCAGACCAATAAATAATACCGCCACATAGATCTTCAAATAAACTCCATGGATGGTCAGAAATTCGTATTTCACCTTTATGAGTTTTTACTTCCCATTCACCTCCATACAAACCAAAAGCTAAAGCTCTTTTAAGTTGAACTTCATCTTGTGTAACAAGATAAGTTAATAAAAATCATAAGCATTACCAAGGGTATTATGACAAAGTCCTGTTACACACTTTTTCAAAATTCCACGCTCCCAGACTAAATCAGTTTTAGCAAGTACATTCGAAAGAATATTTTTGGATGATACATGAGTTGGATATAAAGGATAAATTTTTAAAAAGGAAACAATTATTCCTGGAGCTCCATGGCAAAACATGTTAAAATAAATATTAAGTGAAAAAGTGATAAAACAATAATAATAATACAACAAATTATGTATGTTAAGATGCTTACTGAATGAGATCATCATGAGTTGATTGTATACGTGCAGGATAGTTTTCATTAC